ATACAGGCCTCGAATGTATTGTAAAATTGTATAAAATACAATAAATCGATGAGAATGTTCTAAAAAGAATTAACAAATTTTCAAGATAAAAATAAGAGATTTTAAGGGTAATTCACGCGCCTAAAACACGCAAAACCTGACAAATTACACATTAAACTGTATTTTTTTAAATGGGCCCTTCACAAGCCACGTAATAACACACGCTAAAGACGTGAATAACTATATTAAAAGTGGGTAAAACCACGTGACATTCGGACCTTATTTTAGGGACACGCAAAAAAAAAGGTGTGTAGGTCTGTTTTTTAAAAGAAAAATTAAATCTCCCAAGACTAGAAATTCGTGGCAAACAAAGTGGTTTATTTTTATACAGACCATTGTTTTTGGCGTTTGTTTGTATTTACATAAAAGTCACTTTCCTTTTTTTTTTTATCTTTGTGTATATATATACATATATATATGCGTATATGTATGTATATATATATATATATAAAGCGTGCTAACAGCACACTACATCAGTTGTAAAGTAAGGAGTGATGAATGCGCTAAATTTATTAGGAGGGCGAATCAATGAAAAGTTGGATTGATTTATAGAGGTTGAAGGGCCTTATAACGATTTTCTAATGGTTGTAACACGGTAGGGTGATGCCGTTTTCAGCCTTTTCGGCTTTGTAAAATCGCTACAGGGTGCGGGAAGGGCCCCCGAATGTTGCGTTACTGCCGGGATTTTGGCAGGAGATTAACGCAGAGGATCCTCATTAATACGTTACTCGTTGCCTTAAATTAAAATATTTTAGCCTCTCTTAATCTTCGGCAATCTTAAAGAAGGCGTAGAAAAGTAGGTTAAAGGCCTTAAATGTCGCTCACTGCAATCGACTTTAATAGGGGATTAACGCGAAGGATTCGGATAAAGACACGTCTCCTGGGCCTTAAATTAAATATTTAAACCTTAATTTTACCGCATCTGAGCCTTAAAATAGGCTACAACATAAAAGTTACTTAAAGGCTTCGAATGTTGTTTTACAGAACCGACTCTGACGGCGAAGGATTAACGCAGAAGATCCTTATTAAAATACGCTTTAAGGTTAATAAATCGCCTTAAAATGCATGTCTAAAACCTATTTTGAGCCTTTAAACATTAAATAATGACTACAACTAGCTTAAAAATCGGTTTAAAAGATCCCGCTAATGCACTAATTTTAATGAAGGATTAACAAAGATAATGCTGATTAAATTAAGCATTAAGGCTAGCAATGAGCCTTAAACTGAATACTACGACTTACTTTAACGTATTTAAAGCCTTTAAAATGGCCATCGATTTGATTTAAAGTCGGGGGAAAAGGGGATGACTGCTAGAAGCACGCATATTCATATATGCAAAAGGCCCTTTTCAGTATGTTTACTCTAGCATGAAGGCCTCACTCTATCAGTGTCATCTCAGTTTATTCTGAGGTGCAAATATTATAGAGCCATCACGCAATATTTTCATACACACACACACACAAAACGGGGGTGAAGTTTATCGCCTGCACGAGGAAGGTAGCGCAAAAAAACCGAGTTACTGACGCTATACAAAGCCAAATTTTCGCAAAAATTTATCAAATTTACCAGGCCTAAGGCTAAATTTTTATATTTTAAGCCTTACTATAGCCTTCTTCTGCCTTATTTTATGAGTAAAGATGGTTTTACGCAGCAGAAACACTCTGTTCCTACGCTTAAAACTGACGTTACGGCACGAAATCAAACAATCGTTGCCTAAAAATAAGGCTAAAAATTAATTAATTTTTAACCTTAAACGAATTTTCGAAGGATTTAACGTTAATTAAACAGGTTTTAAAGCCTTAAAACTAATTAAAACGCGGTTAAAACGTCAAGCGATTTCGGCGTACGCAGCTAATTTTCTTCTCCTCCATCTTCGTGAGAAAACGTTAACAAAATTAATTATTTACTAACGTAACTTCATTATTAATTATTTATTAACGTAAAGGCATGGAATAAATCTTTAAAATATCATTTTAAACACGTAAATATCTATATTTTTACTTGTTATCGGGTAATAAATGTTTCGAGTTATCGATGCTCATTGCCATTCTACTAACACGAGCAGGAGGAAACGAAGAGGGGGGTAAGAAAACCACTGTTTAAACAGAAATTCACGTGTAAAATTTTATAACCTGGAAAGTATGAAAGCTAAGGGAGGCATACTTGTTACTGTGGTAGCATTACACGAGGCCCTAACAACAGAATTCAACGGTAACATTGCAGTAGTGGTAACGTAACGAAACTATTTCCCAATCAAATCACTCGCTGTTGAAGAGTTACGAAGCACGCAACACACGCAACCACCACCAACATTTCTGTTGAGTAACAGCATAATATGATAATATCATATACAAATCCTTCCATTAAACGATCGAGTGTATAGGATATAGTTACATAAAAATGAATTTTTGGAGTACGTAACAGCTGGGGGAAGGGGAAGAAACTAACTTAAACGGCTTAAAAAATAGGGGGACGAACACTTAACACATCCGGCCGTACCTCCCCCCCCCTTACAAGAGGACACACCAAAGTGGCCAGAAAGAATACTTTATCCCCGCTTTTGTCGAGTGTGGAGTGTCATTAAGGAACGATTTGTAAAACACCCACCGTGTGTGTATCTTTACTTCACCCCTGTAAAACACTACTTTAACGACGATTATTGACGTCATTAAAGTTGGCCGTAACACTGTTGAATATAACAATTGTTTATAAATGATCCACACCGAGATGATAAACCACGTGACAGTCTGGGGCCCCCCTTTTTTTTTTCTAGACACCAATTTTCTGTTAATTTATGCTATAAACGGGTGGATTTTTAAGTAATTTTATACTGTAAACGGGGGATTTTTTTTTTATTTTTACATTTATCTATCCAGTTATTTATATATATATATATATAAAGAGGTAATGTATTACACTTGAAGGGATGAGAAATTATACTGTATACAGGCCTCGNCCTTTAGAAATTTTTCCTTCGTTTTAGGGATTTTTTTGTATCTGTTTTCATTTTAGGGACGTAAAATACGTTTTAAACTTCGAAAAGTCTTTTATGTTTTTGAGATTTTATGCAGATTTTAGGGTCTTTTTTCCCTCATTTTAGGGAATTTTATACCTGTTTCCAATTCACGGACTTAAAAAGTTTTACACTTCGAATAATCTTTTATTTTATTTTATATTTTAAAGGGATTTTTCGCTAAATTTCTACAGAAAAGTCTAATTTTTAGCGATTTTTGGGGTGATTTTATGCTTATTTTCGGCGGCCGAAACTTAAATTTTTCCTAAAAATTGATAAGTAAACTACTTAAATTCGGATTTGAGAGCGAATTTCGAGTGTTTTTTTATGAATTAAAATCATAATTTCTTTGTTAAATGAGAAGAAAACGCTGTATTTTTTTAATACGGAAACATTGAAAGTGAATGAGGAGGATGTTAACTAGCGCAGGTGATGCTGAAGAAAAGAGGGAAAATCTTTGAAAAATAGGGATAAAGTAGCTGAAAAACGGATGCGTTTAACAAAAGAAATAAAGGAAAAATCGCTTGAATAGGGGAAAAGATCATAGACAAAACGAAGGAAAATAAAACTGTGTTTTAGAAAAGACAAGAATTCGACAATAGAAAAAAAATGATACTGAAAAATTGCAAAAATTATGAAAAATAAGGGAAAAATCCCTAAAAACGTAAAAGATGTATCGAAGTTTAAAACGTGTGATAACTTCCTTAAAGTGGAAAAATACAAAAATATCCCTGAAATAAATAAAAAAACCCTAAAGTAATAAAATTAGAGAAAAATCCCTACATCGATCCTACAAGTTAACGAATAAAAGTAAAAGTTTCAAAGGGAAAAAATACAGAGAATATGCCAGAAATGTCTAGGCTTATTGACAGGAAAAAAACGAAATAATACAAAAACTTCCCTAAACTCGTAACAAAAACAGTAGAAAAATCCCTAACACTAGAAATACTCGTTAAAATCCCAAAAATTGAATTAAAAAACCATAAAAACTCTAAGGGGAAACACCCTGAAACATATTTCAAATCAAAAAAATCCCCAACGCCAATAAAACATTGGATTTATATAAAAATAGAGGGAAAAATAAAGGAAAAAAACCAAAAAAAAAAAAAAACATTTTTTACCATAAAAATCCCTAAAAATTAATCATAAACCCGAGAATATATTAAATTTACATAAAAATAGAAGAAAAATAAGTTTAAAAAACATTTTTTACTGTAAAAATCCATAAAAATTAATAATAAAGGCGAGAAAAGATAAAATTTATAGAAAAAACGGAGAGGAATAAAGGGAGATAAAAAATGATAAATAAATGATAGAAATTGAATATATTTTTGATATATTTTTCTATCATTTTTTGGGAAATTTTACAAGCAAAAATGATATTTCAATGCATCAAAAAATAATAAAGAAAGAGGGAGGAAAAGCTGAAAATTGACTTCCTCTCAACTACATACAAGAGTAAATAAATCTTTCACGAGGAGTCGGATAAAAGAATTCACAAAATCTCTCTAAAATATGAACATTTTTCCCCCCTTTTTTTTTCAACTGCAAGGCACTAAAAATACATTTGAAATTTAAACAGGATTTAGTTTACTGTTAAGTCTTCTTTATTACCTATTTTTAGCGTTGAAATATTTATGTCAGCTCTATACTAACTACATAAAAAAAAAACACACACACACACACTATAGGATCTAGCGCTGAGATAAGAGGAAAATCACTTAATTTTTATAAAAAAAATATTTAATATAAATACTTAAAAATGCTTTTAAATCAAAACTTAGAGGGTTTTTTAAGTGGTTTTTCAAAAATTTTCGACATTTTTCATTGTTTAGGCACTTAAAAATCATACTAAAAATAGCTAATGATGTACTAATTACATAGGGGAGGGTGCTCGGATAAGGGAAAAATCGCTGAATTTTTATTAAAATGTTGCGTGCTAACAGCACACTACATCATACAAACATCTCCCATACACAAAGTAAAACCCACTGAAGAACTCCAGGAACTACTGTAGAGGCTCAGGCTCAGGCTCAGTTTATATATATACATATACATATATGTGTATATATATATATAAGCTGTGTTTTCTAGCCTTAAGGAACTGTTCCCATCCCAAAATAAGCGTTTTTAACGCCTTATTCTTTCAATTTTCTGGTATTGTTGAACAGAACACAAACACAAGAACCCCTTTTTTTTTATTATTTTTAAATTGTTTTTTTTTTTCTTTTTTTCTCACAAAGGCTACACTAAACAGCGGGTTTTGTGCGCAGGCTACACTACACACGTAGCTAAGCCTATATATTTATATATATATATATATACTAGGTTTACATGCTGGCTCTATAGAGAGATTAGTCCATAACTTTACCTCATGTATTTACTGTGGTAGGTCCCCTTTTTTAAAAATTTTTACTTGCTCGAGTCGCTTACAACATCCAAAGACTTGGCTGAGATGTCGCTAGAAGTCGAATCGGCCCTACTTGGGGGCGAACAGGCCGGATAGGGTGGAAGATTCGGTAGAGTCCTTGTACCAACTAATGCAGAATGGTCCGTCAGTCCAGGGAACTGTAAAGCTGGCAACAGGGTCGGCTTGATGGGTAATGACGGTAAGGTGAGCGGTACGGTACCGTGTACCGCTGGTAATTGTAGAGGATAGCCTACAGGCTTGCCGTAGAGGTGCTGAAACTCGTGTTGTAGTGCCGAATGTGGGAAGGTTGTCGTATAAGTCGGGTGCCACGTTGCTTGGCCCGTGACACACGACACGGAGCATGGGAATGCCGGCAACAGAGGCTGTGGCACCAGCGGGTGGTGGTGGTGATGTCTCATGCTGTCCTTGTTGTCCGGTGCTATAAGGTTCTCGATAGAAAAAGGCTGTTTGTATGATGTCACCGAGGGCCTTACGATATCCGCCAAAGGTTGAAGGTGGCTGGGTGCCGCTGCTAGTGCCGTCAACCTCAATTTTGCTTGCTCCTGTATGGCGTGTTGAGATGCTGTCTCGATGTGTTTTAGTTCGGCAAGTGCCGCTGCCGTGGCATCTTTTATGGATTTCGGTAGCTTGAACCTCTTGCGTCTTCTCAGAAAGCTTCCGTTTTCGAACATATCCCCGCATGCCGGATGTAGGGCCCAGTAGCTTCCTTTACCGGGCCTGTCGGGCCTTCGTGGTATCTTTATAAAACAGTCATTAAACGATAGATTGTGCCTTAGAGAGTTCTGCCACCTCTGAGTGTTCTTGCGGTAGTACGGGAATCTATCCATGATGAACTTGTAGATGTCATTGAGGGTGAGCATTTTTTCTGTAGAGCTTTGTATAGCCATAAAGGTCAAAGATATATAAGAATAGGGCGGTTTTTGATCGCCGTACGTATTCCGTCCCGGTCGTGGCATGGTCTGTCTCGATCACTGCATCACTACAGGCATTTTCGGTTGAATCCACACTCACATAATCGAGCTGGGCTTGCTGAGCGGCAGTCAAACACTACAGACTGGCAACGTTGCCTCACCTGATCAAGCGCCAACTTCGAACGCGACAAAACAAGGCGCCAGTCTCCACCCCCTGGGCGTGTTGACTTCGCAGGAGCACACACTGGCAAAGTCGTACAGCCTCGTCCAATGGTGTTCCTCTAAGCCATGCCAATCAAAAACTGGAGGCGTGCACTGTTTCCGCAGGCTGGCGAGTCTAGAGGAGCACGCGTTGTAACCACCAACTGTAAGTACACCTCTTGAACTTTAACAAAGCCGGGGGGGGCGAATATGTGTTCTCAGTCCTGCCGAATTAGTCTCGGAGTAGGAGAGAAAAAAATATCCCCCTATTTATTCTCATACCGAGTCCAAGTATCTATTGTCGCGTCGAGGGTCTGCCTCCGTTCCAGCTGCTACTTTTTGGGTATGAGCGGTCAACCACTTGTATATAGAAAGCATACAATGTTATGGTTTTGTATCGATATCTATAGGAGTGAGGCAAAGATGAATGAGCCCAAAGGAATTTTGTGCATGTAATGACGTTTAGAACACTCTACCCCAAAGTGGGGAAACACGCCGTTTAGGGGGGGCAAGAAAGAATACATATCAGCACCCTTTCTATATAGGGGGACGTCCGTGGAGTTACTTGTCAGCACATGATCTTTACAGCCAAAGAAGCCCGCTTCTTTTGTCAACATTTGACTTTCTGCCGCAGTTCCTTTTTGCCAAAACCACCTGCCTTTCTCTCCCCCCATAAACTATCGGCTAGAAAACCACTTTTGGTTATAAGGGGGGGGTCGGGTGCTTTCTTCGCCATTCACTGCCACATCTTTGTAATCACACTTCCGATATGCACGCAGTTTCTCAGGCTTGTCTAGTGATAGAATGATATATAACCCACCTACCGAAAATTAGTTTGCATGATGTCTTTTGCATTGTGGCTGCTAAATCGGTTCCACTCCTCTCCTCTTCCACTTCTCTCCTATTAGATTAAACCAGTTTTGTGGACAAACAACAAGGAAATCAGTAATTATCCTTGCGGATTTTCTGAATAATAGAATTTTTATTAGGCTGTTCTGTAAGCAGCCATAAAGGAAAAAGAAGAAGAAGAAGAAGCAGAAGAAGAAGAAGAGCAGAGGGGGGGAAAAATGAAAGAAACGAAACTCGTTCTGGGTTTGTCGGTCTCTTCTGCTTTTTCTAGTCTCATAAATGGAGTTGCCAGACGTCTACGAAATTTTCGACGGTCACGTGACAGCGTAAACACATTATAAAACTAATTATGAGTATCCCCCTTCTCTTTATTATTATTTTTATTTTTATTATTTTTTTTTTAAAAGGAGGTTACTTCAAAGATTAACTCTCTACCCACGTAAACATTAGCCACTTTTGGGAGATTTTATTGTTGTTTAATTGTTTCCAACTAGATTATTTCTTACTTATCTTCTTGTTTAAGTGTGTTATTAAATTTATGAAGCCGTATAATTGCTTAAAAAAAAAAAATTCGTTTTAATTGAGAAGTCGCTTTGTAAATGCTAGACTTTTTATTTTTATTTATTTATTTACTTCCTCCCCTCACTCAGGTAGCTTAAACACATAAGTTTTCTAAAGCTTTTAGACGTCTAAACTTTTACTTTTAAGGCAAACAATTAGGGTTGTAATCCCGTTTATTACCTTCTATTTTCAACTGGAACACCTTTCGTAATTTAGGGCATCTTCTTAAAGAATTTCCTCCCTTCGGAATGTATCCTTAAAAACCAATTGTTCGAGTCGAAAACGTTACCTGCAGAGTAGTAGATTGCATCTAAACAAAGTTTAGAAACACGTGTTTGCTTAATTGACAGACATGTTGCTACCTCCAAGCACCACACCTGGATATATTCCTATAGAACGATGCCTGAGTTACTCCTTACCTGTGTCATTTCACCACACCTTTACTGACCACAGGTGTTTGCATTGTAAAACCTTAAGAAAAAAGGTAGAGAACTCATTAAGGTTCCTACCTCGTAATTTAAATTTTAACCACTTCTTATGTCCAAAAAAAAAAAATAAATAAATAATTAAATAAAAATGGCTGCCTTACTCGGCCATATTTGAAATGAGTAGTGTGACGAAAGATTCGAAGCAACACCTGTTAGTAAAATTGAAAAAAATTATAATAAAAATACAAGTATAGAAGAAGATTCCTTTAAACTTTTATAGGGCATCCATCCAAGGATGAGAGTATTTGAATAATGGCCAACTTGAGCAATAATAGAATTGCAGAAGTAGCCATTTTCTTGTCGTATTCACAACCTGCTATCTGTTACTAAACGTAATGCACATGGGCCTACCTGATTTATGAAAGGACATTCAAGAGCAATGGAATTCGCAGAAGAAAAGACCGGTGACTTGTGCTGTGCTTTGATCAATGGCATGGCTGGACAACCCCCAAACTGCAATTGACTGCATCGTACATCATTCTATGGATATTTTTCATCTGAAATGCGACTATGGTCACTACAGATTTCAGTTCGATTTTTCTTATTATTATTATATATATATATTTCTTTTATTTTCTTTTTTAAAGTTGATGAATGGCCAATTTTTATTCACACTTTCAACCATCTTCTTCTACTGTCCACGTGTAATTTCGTACAGGAAAGGATCCTTTGTAGCGTGTTTTTTTTTTGACCTTTTACAACCAGCAAACTTCGCCAATTTGGAGCCTTAAAGTGTAAAAAAAAAGCGAATTTACAGGGTAGTTTATCTTGTAAACTTGCAGAAGAATGGTGTTTTGTTACGAAATTTACAATTCTAACACCTCCCTACTGAGTTAACTGTTAAATTTCATCACTTATGAACACCAATATTTGTGAATTTTAGTATATATTGGCCTTCACGTAGCTGCAAATTTCGCCAGTTTGGAGCCTTAAATTACTTTTTAAAAAAGGCGAATTTACAGGGTAGTTTATCTTCTTAAACCTTAATCTTATGGTTTCTACGTGGTGTATTGTTATAAAATTACAGTTTTAATCTCCCCCCTTTCCATTGCGTTAACGGTTAGATAAAATAGCTTGTGAACCCCCCTAAATTTCTGACTTACCTGTTCTGACTTTTATCCTACGTTGGCCTTTACAAGGAGCAAACTTCACCAGTTTGGAGCCTTAAACTATAAAAAAAAAAAAAGGTGGCTTTCATGGTAGTATATCTTCTAAAATTGCTAAAAGGATGGTTTCTACGTGGTGTATTGTTACAAAATTACCATTTTAAACCCCCACTACCGCGTTAACGGTTAAATTTCGTAACTTAGGAACCCCCAAATTTGGTGTGTTGTAAGATATCGAGGCATCACCTCTGACACACCAAGGTGTTGGACATATAAAGATAATGTGCACATGTGATGGTCGTCAGAGAAAAGACAATGGACAATTTCGTGCCTACTGACTTCCTGCCCCTCTGTTGCATGGGATGTAAGAAACAATGGGACCTACAATCACTACAGGAAACTAACAGCTTTCCATGAAGGGGGAAGGAAAAAAGAAAAAAAAAATATCACTTTTCTGCAAAGTAATTGAATGATTCCTCCTGGATCCTTTAAATATTTCGCATTAAAGTAAACTTCTAGAGGGCCTCATTGTTGAAAGTAATGATTATAATGTTTAGAAATTTCAGTTTTTGACATTATCACACGACACAAAAGCCGAATTATAGAGAAAAATTGGGTAAATTGATTTTAGGAGAAGGCCGAGACGGTGCCTTTTCCTTCTAGAATATCTACTTTTATGTGTTAAAATGCTAAATAATATAATAAATAAATGTTTAGAGACAAAAATGGATGTTTATTTATAGCAAATTTACGTTAAAATTTTAATAAATATCCTATAGTTTACTACACAAGAACCCAGTTACTACACAGGAATTGGATTTTGATAGGGCCTATTATAATTATTGACTTTATAAGCCATTTTTCTGAGGCTTATGATGCCTTAAAAAGCTCTAAATTGTTTAAACTCTTAATTTATCCATCATTTACAGCCTTAATTATTTAAAAGCATAATAATATATCTATATATAGATAAAAATATATAATACGTTAATTACAAAAATGAAAAAAGTGAAGAGAGAAAGGGGTGGAGATACCGCACTGTAAAGCACAACATTTCAAAGCTTTATTGTTGATTTATATGCATTTAAATGCTCAAATATTTTTTAAAATTAATAAATATCCTTGATTATTATATCATAAAACATAATTAGGAATTAAAATATTGAAATGTTTATAGATTTTTATGTAAAAATCTATCATAGATCATTGTTTACAATGTATAGAATCGTCGCATTTTGCAGGACTTGTATGTAAATTTATCAAGATTTAAAGCTTTAAAACGGCATAAAGTGAAGAATAAAGTTAAAAAGGGGCGAGTAGAAAAGCAAATTTTCTTAATAAAATCAATAAAACTTTGCAAACTTTGAAGCCAACCCTTTAAATGTGGGATCAAATATCAACTGTTACATCGATTGAATGAAGTTTTATAGCAACAAACTCCAATTAATGTGATTACAAAAAAAAGATCTTATCTCTAACTAAATCGATGATAAATAATAGAAAATATTGATTATAAATATAATTATAATTTTCACGAAGAAAGAATAATAAATAGAATTTATTAATGTTTAACTCCATTAAAAAAAATAATAAATTACCAAACACTTTTAATTCAAGTCTGATTTTTTTAAGGAATATTTTGCCTGATTTCGACCAGAATTCGTCACTAAATTACAATATTTCCTTTTATTTATCTTTACTTACGTGTAGGCTCTCATATTAAGGCTTATAGCCTTAATATGAGAGCAGAAAAATGTCTCTAAGTGCATATGAAACTATAGAAATAGGTCAGTTTTTTAAGGCTTTAATTTCCATTTAAGGCTCTAATAAGGCTTATAACCTTTAAAATATTACAAGTGAAGTATCTGGATAATTGAAAAAATGTAAATTGTGGCTCAGACATGGCTCAAAATCTCTTTGAATTAATACAAAATAGTTAATTTTTCAAG